TTTTACTTTTATCTTATACCCTTATGCAGGAGTCATGCCTTTCCTTTTTACATTTTATCCTTTGGCAAGCACATTGTGTTGGAAAGATTCTTATATATATATATATATATATATATATACACACACACACACACACACAATTGGATGTAAGTTTCATGAACTATTATTGTTGACATTATTCTTGAGGTAAAAGGTTGGGAGGCGAATATATAAGCCCCTATCTTTCTCTGTGTCCGATTAAAACTTTGAACCCATAAATATCATGTGAGTGTTAGAAATTGTGAAAGACTAAATGATAGTTGAGTATGTGGAGTTTGCTAAATCAAAGCTCTGACATAGACCCTTCCTGAAAATAAGATGAATTGCAATTGTTTGATGACTGAGAATATAGTTTGTTAGTTTCAAGAAAGTTTATGATCTATACTTTAACATGTGAATAGTTTGTTACTTGATCATGAAAAGTTTTATGAAGATGAGCTACTGTTATGATATATAATGATGTTATAAAAAGTGATTGAAACTATCATTGATGAAACTTATGCACTTGCTAGCATTCACACTCCATAAATTATTTCTTTTATCATTTACCTACTCGAGGACGAGCAGGAATTAAGCTTGGGGATGCCGATACGTCTCCAACGTGTCTATAATTTATGAAGTATTCATGCTATTATATTATCAATATTGAATGTTTTATATGCATTTATATGTTATCTTATACGATTTTTGGGACTAACCTATTAACCTGGTGCCCAGTGCCAGTTTCTGTTTTTTTCTCGTTTTTGAGTTTTACAGAAAAGGAATATCAAGCGGAGTCCAATTGATGTGCCAATTTTTGACAATTTTTTATGGACCAAAAGAAGACCTCGGAGTAAAAGAGTTGGGCCAGGAGAGTCCCGGGGCGTCCATGAGGGTGGGGGTGCCCCCCCCCCACCCCCAGGCGTGTGGGCCTGCCTCGTGGACACCCCAGGCACCTCCTTGACGTGAGACCGACGCCAAAAATTCTTATAAATACAGAAACCTTGGAAAATTAATCTAGATCGGGAGTTCCGCCGCCAGAAGCCTCCGTAGCACCAAAAACCAATCTAGGCCCTCTCTGGCACCCTGCCGGAGGGGGCCATCATCACCGGAGCGCATGGAGGAGGATCCCGGAGGGGCCATCATCTCCATGAAGGCCAAGGACCAGAGGGAGAACCTCTCCCCATCCAGGGGGAGGCCATGGAGGAGGAAGCACAAGGGGGAGAACCTCTCCTCCTCTCTCTTGGTGGCACGGGAGTGCCATCGAGAGGGGAATCATCGCCGCGGTGATCGTCTTCATCAACAACACCATCATCATCATCACCGGAGGGCATGGAGGAGGATCCCCGGAGGGGCCATCATCACCATGAAGGCCAAGGACCAGAGGGGGAATCTCTCCCCATCTAGGGGGGAGGACATGGAGGAGGAAGCACAAGGGGGAGAACCTCTCCTCCTCTCTCTTGGTGGCATCGGAGTGCCATCGAGAGGGGAATCGCCGCGGTGATCGTCTTCATCAACATCACCATCATCACCATCCTCATCTCCTTTACGCGGTCCACTCTCCCGCACCCCGCTGTAATCCCTACTTGAACATGGTGCTTTATGCCACATATTATGATCCAATGATGTTTTGCCATCCTATGATGTTTTGAGTAGATATCTTTTGTCTTTGGATTGATTGATGATCTAGATTGATATGAGTTGTATGTTTTACTTTCGTGCTGTCCTATGGTGCCCTCTATGTCGCGCAAGCGTGAGGGATTCCCGTTGTAGGGTGTTGCAATACGTTCATGATTCGCTTATAGTGGGTTGGTGAATGACTGAAACACAAACCCGAGTAAGGGGCTTGTTGCGTATGGGAATAAAGAGGACTTGATGCTTTAATACTATGGTTGGGTTTTACCTTAATGATCTTTAGTAGTTGCGGATGCTTGCTAGAGTTCCAATCATAAGTGCATATGATCCAAGTAGAGAAAGTATGTTAGCTTATGCCTCTCCCTCATATGAAACTGCAATAGTGATTACCGGTTTTGTTAACAATCGCCTAGGACAATTCCGCACATCGATCCACCATTATTCCACACTCGCTATTTATAATATTTAGTAATATATTCTAACTTTATGATAACAACACCTACTATTATATTTTAGCTCTCCGATATCATACAAAGTTATCCTCTTCATACCCACAACATAGTTTTATTTCTCGTTTCTAGTTGGAAGCAAATGTTCGGTGTACGTAGAGTCGTATCAGTGGCAGATAGGGCTTGAGAGAATATTGATCTTACCTTTAACTCCTTGTGGGTTCGACACTCCATACTTATCACTTCCACCTGTGGAAATTGCTACGATGATTCTCTCCACTTGGGGATTATCATCAGTACCGTGGCATGGCCCTGCCTACGCGGCCGCCATAGCTGCGGACTCCATCTGTGCCGACAGGTTGGTAGGCACGGTCTTCCCGAAGATCGCCGCAATGGCTTTCAACTGTTGCTCTTGCAGTGGCGAGTCGAACACAGATCGAAGTAGACCAAGCGTGTCATTCGAAACTGCCAGCTCATCACAAGCAACCCCCAAAGCCCTCAAGAGCACCGTCTCGGCCACCGTCGCTTTGGTCTTCATGCCGCCACCCACCGAGCTCACCACCGATCTGGTCGTACGCCTTGGTGTGAAAGGTCCTAGCCCGTCCGTACACCACGGGCACCCTAAATCTCCTTGAGTAATGGCGGAGCCAACTTTTTGAGCAGACCGGCGCATAATGACTTGATATTACCTAGTGCCACTAATTCCTTTGCCGTAACATTCGCCTGCTACTCATCCAACTGCACAGGCTGTGCCACCACCATAACCTGAGGCGCATCGGTGCATGGCTCTCCCACGTACGTAGTCACATCCATGCATGGGATCTCCGGATCAACCCGGGGAGCCGTGTCCAATGAAACCGGGCCAAGCACAGGGGCCCCACCCAGCTCAGAGATCGGTGCCCATCCATATGCGTGGGTGGCAGCCGAATCCCCCACCTATGGGCCCAGGGGCGAAAGGATCTGGTGCGCCGGCTCCTGGGGAGCCCCACCCTCCAAAACACCCTCATCCATCAGCGGCAAGGCCGAGGAGGGGAGCAGAAGATCCCGAACCCCCTCCATATGACCCCCCACGCGTCCCACCGATAGGACAACAACATCCGAGGCCGCGATGACCGATGTAGGACTGGTTGTCTCCTTCGGTCTATGCTGGTCCACCTGAATCAGAATGCCAGCATCGGTAGCAGCGGGAATAGGGCCAACAACCGGACAAACAATGGGATCCGAGGCCATTGTCCTATCTGCCTGCCCGAGCTGCGCCTCTCCACTTCCATCGGCCTGCGCGTTGTCTCTGTCATCCGATATGCCCAACTCACCACTTTTGACCAATTCAAACTCATCGGCTAGCGTCTTCTTTGCGGCATGCACCACCAACTCCGCCGGCACCACCAACCTCCTCCGCGGACCGTTGGGGGTCCGGCCTGGGTCACTCACCACCACACGATTGGGCACCCGGTGCCGCGGGGCCACCTGGCCCCGTGACGTCATCGAAGGCAGTCTCCAATCAGACGGGCCCACCCGCCCCTCGAGCACCTGCCTGTACGAGCGGCCATCTCCGCCCGCCGCCGGTCCGGCGCCGCTCCGATCCAAGCCACGGCGATCACGAACACCTCTCGACCTAGGCTGCATCGTCCAATCCCCTCCCGCGAACGAACCAAGAGAGCTATCTAGCAATCCACTCTGACCACTATCGATGTCCGCGTTCGAGCTCCGTCGCCACATGTCCGGCGGCGAGACATCTCTCAACCTCCCAATGTGGATCAGCATGGGATACTCCAACAGCTGGCGGAAGGAAGGACGTCGCTCCGCTGGATCCGCAGCCACCGGCTCTGGTTCTTGAACCCAAAGCAGGCGGCTGACCGACACCTCATCCGGATCAATGCACCACGCCCTCAGCTTGAAGAGGGAGAGATCCTCGTGATTCTCCGTCTCCGGCGCAAGGCTGACGATCAGGCAGGAGCTGCCGAGTAGTTCTGCTGCCGTATTCTTGGTCCATGCAATCAATATGAAACTGCAGCACACACGATCTGTGGATGGACGATTTGTGCACGACGTGATTAAAAGCCACACAGATCAAAGAAATGAGGCAATCCAATGGTATAGGTACTTGTCGTGTGTGAATCGTGCACAAATCTGTCGTGTGCCTAGCACTGCTCATCCAAATATACCTTATATCAACCATGTTATAGATTTTGATAAGATAACTATATTATAGATTTTGATAATATATGATTTGTTTAGTATGGGTAAGGAAGGCAAGAAAAGTTTAGTTTTGATTTAGTTGATAAGATTTGATTTGATTTGGGTAGTGGAAGGCAAAGAAAGAAAGTGTTGATTCGGTTGATGTTTTTATAGATTTTATTTATATATACTGAGTTAATGCATGACATGTTTTTGATAAGTATTAATTGAGTTAATGTAGAACATGGTTTCCAAAGAAAGTTTAGATTATTCCAAACCAGCGGGGTGAGGAGGGGGACGATATCAAAATTGATGACCTACAAACATCAACTCCACTCTAAAAATAGAGATTCACATAGGTTCAGATCACCAGCCTATTCATATCATATTTATACAGATTCTCATACCCCAGACTTTATTTTTCGAATGGGTTACCCCATTTTTCCATTACAACAGAGACAAGATATGTCCAGTAGAAAAAGTATAATAAAAAGTGAAAAATGATAAACGAGTTCGAAGCACTAGGGGGAAACCCACTGTCCAGCCGCATTCTGGAAGCCAGACTACGGGACGAAAACCCACTAGCACCAGCCCTATCTACTTAAGCAAACTCACTACAGTACCCCGGATTACTTCATACTCATATAGGTTCGCAGCTCACAAGCTAAGATATATCTGTGAGTCCGCATCTACGAGTACTACTTAGTAGAGCATACTCCGCTAGTAGCCATGGGATGGCCCCCAGTGATCTGGAATTGTATGGCATCCATGGTGGCATTGTTGAGCAGGGACACCCCGATGCTGGCCAGCTAGGCGCGCGACATCTGGCACTTCTCTGTCAATGGAAGGAATGCGAAATCTGGAAGTTGAGGCAACTCCAGCACCATTGAGGAGGTCCTCATGCCCCACGTCCGGGGAGTGAAGGCCATACAGAGACGCCAAGGTCTTGACAGCTTTGATGGCGCGACGAGCCTCGCATAACTCGTACAGGTATGCATGATATTCCCGATCCTTAGAGTGCATCGCCTGGACCATGGCCATGGTAGAGGGACTGTCCTTCGGGCTGAAGTTGTTGGGGTAGAAAACCTCGCCACTGGAAGAAAGGGCCGGCATAAACTTTAATGGCCCTTCTGCCATTTCAGGAAGGTCATGGCGAAGACGTGCCATGGCAACATGAGCAGCTTGTTGGATGGCCAGCTCCTTGTTTGTGCCGTGACCCAGGAAACAGTAGGGGCCGTTGTCGTTGTCCGCTTCTCTTGCACGGATCAGCACCTCGGCCACATAGTCCTCCATGCCAAATTGACGATCATGAAGGTAGATGGTGTACTTGGGCATCCAGTGGAAGTTGTGGCACCGAAGTGCGCCGCAGAGTGTCTGCGGATGACCAGGCACATCGACACAGTGGCCTGACTGAACAGCTACTCCGAGACATCTCTACCGCATTTAATAATTTAAAACGGCATTTTGCAAAAACTTATTCACCGCAACCAAATCTATTGAATTTGGGGAGCTAAAATAAAGCATCACCATACATATCCTTTGGTAACTATTATCTTGGCGAGCTAGAACTTATCTCGTATGCTATGAACACTGACACGAACAGGGAACTAGGTGTCTCCGAGACGAATCCCTCAGTTTGGTGCTTCGCAGTTCGGTAAACGACATCCCTCTTTGGTCTAGCCGATGTATTAATGAGGACCATAAGTAGATCATCTATGATTGGGGAATTATGATCTCGCAGATCAATGTAAATTACTTCCTCTGTAAAAAAATATAAGAACGTTTATAAATCACTAAAGTAGTGATCCAAACGTTCTTATATATCTTTCCGGAGGGAGTACTAGTTTAGACAATACTGAACTTTTATAAGAGCCTCATTCAAAGGCCGGGCAAGTGCCTCAGTTCCTAAAAAAAAGCGATACAGTTAATAAACTAAATAATTTACCGACTTAATTACGAGAAGCTACAGAGAAAAGCTTAAGGAGGAATAAACTCATACCCCTAGCAGGTAGGAGTAGTATGCTAATTGCTACAGTAGTTTATTTTCAGACTAAATTAGGTTTACTAGCTCGTCGCCAATGCTATTCTGGATTGCGTGACGACTGACGACCTGGTCAGAGACTCAGGAAGTGATCACTGCTCGGCCTCTACTCACAGTACTTTGGTCCCGCGCTTGCGTCGTGCATGCATGGCGCTGAGCAGAGCGATAGCCGCAGCAGCGCCGGCGACGAGTTCCAGCGGCAGCGGGTGTCACGGCTCCGGCGAGGATGGAGCAAGGCCCGACGAAAGATCAAACTGAAAGAATCAGATGGAACATGGGCTCACCATTTCAGAAGAATGGCGGTGCGGCGCCAGCGGGCTAGCGGACTGTCAGCAGAGGACGGGCGTTGTTTCCTCGATCCTGTCCAGATCCAGAATCCAAACTGAATCCACATGCGAGATAAGAAAAGAGAAAAACAAAAGAGACAGGGGCACGCGAAGGTGTGAGTTGGAGCCATCAGCTTTAGGCAAATTTTCGTGTTTTGACTATTTTCTGAAATCTATTTGAGATTTGACCCTAGTTTAAAAAAAATTCGAGATCTGACCCTTTTGCTACCGCCAGAGTTCATGACATGATGGTAGAGTCTAACATCCTACCGCTAGAGGCTTTGACAGTAAGAAACATCGTTACCGTCAACCGGACCGGTGGTAGTCTGCACAACCCTACCGTCAAGGTGCTTGGCGGTAGACATGAGCACGCACTGTGTTCAATACTTAGGAGGTTTTTGGCGGTAGGGCATGCAACCCTACCGTCAATGGTCCCTGACGGTAGCAAAAGGGTCAGATCTCAAAAAAATAAATTCAAACTAGGGTCAAATCTCGAATAGGTTTCAGAAAAGGGTCAAAACACGAAATTTAGCCTCAGCTTTACCGGAACCGCAAGGGACAGACGACACTCTCTTTCCGGAAGCTGCAAGGTGTGAGCAGGGGAAGGATGAGGTCGGGAGACTGGAGTAGAGGGAGAAGGGGATATGGATCAGAGAAACTGTCTGCAGGGGAGTTAATGGGGAGGGGTGGTGGTCGTGGTGCTCCCCGATTGGCCATAGGCGACGGTGAAGGGCTAGAGCTCGGACCAGTCGCCACGGCGCTTCCCCGTTGTTCGAGGTGGATATGTTTGGTTCCTGGTTCCAAAAATAAAGGTGGATATGTTTGGTTCCTGTTCGGGACCGCCTGTGCGATTCGCCGGTCCCTATGGTGTAATCGCGGGTGGATTTGATCGTTTTGTGAGAGAGTAAAAGCAATCCAACGGGGCGATCCAGGGTGATCCATTACGGAAAAATGTTTTTATCATGCTTTATAAATAAGGCAAGCTATCACAATCATATGGTCCAACCAGGTTCATAACACACACAAGTCCACATACATGAACACACATCAAGTGCAAAAGGGTTTAGCTGAGGGGACAGCTTAATAAGCTCTAAAGAGAAAAAGACAAATGCGGCATGAGGAGCCTCAGATGGCTAATCTGGCTTCGGTGACGGCAGAGGGAGTGGCGATGTCAAGTGGAGAGCCATTGCGCGAAGATCTGCAATGATGGAATTGATGGTGTCCCGGTCCAGGAGCGATAAAGCGGCTGCCAAAGCTGCAAATACCCACACATTTTAAAAATCGCATTAGTGACACGTCGAAGAGGCACACGTTGGATGACTAGATGATTGCGGACGGTCCATGGGGTCCAAGTTAGGACCCGGATGGTCGGCCACCTAATGTGGCGAACGCGAAGGGGGGTGGCCTGGATTACGGAAAAATTTGAACATGATTACTCTTTTTAATTTAAAAAGTACACGTCCAGAAAATATGGATCAAGCCAGTGTTGGGTGCACATGCCGATCCAAATAAAAAAGAAGACACAGGTGTCTGCGCGGCCGACCCAAACAAAAAAAAAGTAAAAAAAGCGCGTGTTTGTGTTGGTCGCCCGGTTGGAGTTGCTCTAACGTTCGGTGACCTAGTTCGGTATGGTGTGGGTGCTTCTATGATGATGTTCGCGTCGTTATTACGATTCTTGTAAACTATTAGCTCCGTTCTATAAAAACATGGCGCGTGTTCGTGTTGGTCGCCCGATTAGAATTGCTCTAACGTTCGGTGACCTAATTTGGTGTGGTGTAGGTGCTTCTATGATGATGTTTGCGTCGTTATTACGACTCTTGTAAACTATTTGTTCCGTTCTATAAAAACATGGTACAAAATTTATGTATTCTTGAAAAAAAAAACACGGACGGTAGATTGTTTTCTTTAAGTTTGACACAAATGAGTTGAAGGTTTTTTCTTTCTGTAGGGATAAATGAGCTGACGGTGGGGAGTTCCTATTCCATGCGTTCTATGCCCGTAAAGGAAACAGCGCCCACCCACGCCCCTTCGTGGGCCGGCCCATTATAGATGTCTCTTCGCTTGAAACTCGATCTTACCCGATCGGGAGCAACTAGTTAACGAGCGCTTCTTTGGAAGCCTCGCAACGATCAGCGTCATTTGGCGCGCTCTCAATCATTTGCCACGTGTGGCGCTTTGGACGTTTTCTTTTAATTTTTTTCGCACATGTTTTCAGCTTTTTAAACGGGGTATTTCGACGTTTTAATTTTTCATCGGTCTTCCTTAGCTTTTCAACCAATTTTTAAAAATAATTATTTTGCGCAAAAAATGCATTTTTTTCTTTTCATGAGAGTCACAGTTTTGCTTCCGCGAGAGGCACGGTTTTGCTTTCGCGAGAGTCACGGTCGTGCCTCTCAAAAATGAAAAAAAACGCGTTTTCTGTTTTTTTTTGCGAGCCACGGTATTGCTTCCGCGAGAGGCACGGATGTGCTTTCGCGAGAGTCACGGCCGTGCCTCTCGGAAACGAAAAAAATGTGTTTTCTGTTTTTTTTCTTTCGCGAGAGTCATGATTTTGCTTTCGCGAGAAGCATGGTTCTGCTTTCGCGAGAGTCACGGCCGTGCCTCTCGGAAAGGGAAAAAACGTGTTTTCTGTTTTTTTTCTTTCGCGAGAGTCACGGCCGTGCCTCCTCGGAAACGAAAAAACCGTGTTTTCTCTTTTTTTCCCGCGAGAGGCACGTTTGTGATTTCATGAGAGGCACCAGGGTGCCTCTTTCGGAAAGAGAAAAAAGACGTGCTCCCGGTTCGGTTTTTTCATCCGGTTTTTTTCATGATTTTTTTTTGTTAAAATCTATCAACATGGGATCTAGTTTTGAAGATCTCGACGCGAATAATCCAATAGTGAAAGCGGTTCGAGATTTGGACGCACGGTTTGAGAGATAAAATGTTTTGAATAAACGGGTCTACGAAAAAAGGGAAAACTCCAGGTTGCGACAAGTGACGCCCTGCATGTGCGCCACTTTGTCGCAACTAGGGAAATTGGAGTGATCTTTGCAACGAGTATTCCTTAACTAGTGATTCCGTGGATTCTCCGAAATCACTAGTTGAGGAGTACTCGTTGTAAAGATCACTCCAAACTTCTTAGGTTGCGACAAGTGACGTGTTGTATGTGCGCCACTCGTTGAAATCTGAGAGTTTTCCCTTTTTCGTACATCCGTTTATTCAAAACGTACTATCTCTTAAATCATGCATTCAAATATCGAACCACTTTCAATGTTGGATTCCTCGCGTCGAGATCTTTAAAATCAGATCCTATTGAAAGATTTTGACAAACTATTTTCATGAAAAAAACCGAACGAAAAAACCGAACCGAGAATACGGGTTTTTCCCTTTCTGAAAGAGGCACGCCTGTGCCTCTCACGAAATCATAAACCATGCTTCTCGCGGAAGCAAAACCGTGACTCTCACGAAAGAAAAAAATACGTTTTTTTTCTGTTTTCGACGAGGCACAGCCATCAGTCTCGCGAAAACACAACCGTGCCTCTCATGAAAGCAAAACCATGACTATCGCAAAAGAAAAAAAATAGAAAACACGTTTTTTCCGTTTTCGAGAGGCAGATGCGTGACTCTCGCGGAAGCAAAACAGCGACTCTCGCAAAAAAACAGAAAAGACGTTTTTTTCCGTTTCCGAGAGGCACGTCCGTGACTCTTGAGAAAGCACAACCATGCCTCTCACAGAAGCAAAACCGTGATTCTTGTGAAAAAAAAACAGAAAATACGTTTTTCCCCGTTTCCGAGAGGCACGGCCGTGACCCTCGCGAAGCAAAACTGTGACTCTCGCGAAAGGAAAAAGAAAAAGGAAAACACATTTTTTCGCGCAATTTTTTTTGTATTTTTTTATCAAAAAACTAAGACACACCGATGGAAAATCAAAACGTTGGGAAAAATTAAAAAAACAGTTAAAAATCTGAGAACGCGTGTGGAAAAAATAAATTCAGAGGGAGCGCCCAAAGCACGACACGTGATAAATGACTGAGAGCGCGTCAAGTGCCGCTGATCGTTGCGAGGCTTCCGAAGAAACGCTCGTTAACTAGTTGCTCGACCCGCAATTGACCGCGCCTGTTACGGCATTCCCTGTTTAGGGCTGCAGGCGCCCGTTACATGCCAATTTTGCGCCTGCAGCAAAC